TCTGCAAAAACAACCAGTATTTTTAACCCCTAAGCCATCCCTCCAGCCCCCATGATGCTTTTTTTTTTTTTTTTTTTGTCTTTTTGAGACAAGGTCTCCTTGTAACCCCAGCTGGCCTGGAATTCGCTGTGTAGACCAGGCTGGCCTCGAACTCACAGAGATTCTCCTGCCCCTGCCTCCCCAGTGTTGGGATTAAAGGCTTACAAAATCACGCTGGGCAGTTCCTTAGTTTCTTACCATAGCTCAAGGTATAACTCTCACCTGCCTTTAGCAGATGCTCATTGAGTATGCCAAGCAAGGAAGCTAGAGCAAGCTTTCTCAGTGGATACCCTGTAAGAGGCAACAAAAGGCAACACCAAAGCTTCAACATTTCCCCACTCACTGATGAGGTCTGTGCTCACCCAAAGTCCTGGTCTAGGTGAATCCCTGAGCCTGACAGTGCCAGGCCATTTAGGTAGACAGGATGCCCAGAGAATCCTCTAACTATGGCCCCACAGTGAGTACAAGGATGCAGAATCTTCAAACTCTGAACTCTCATCTGATACAGGGAAACTGAGGTTCAGAGTAGATAATCTACTTGTTTAGCTGTACAGAAAATCATGACTAAAACTAGATTAGAATTGGACCTTTTGGTTCTGATTTTGAGCAATTTCTCTCAAAAAATAAAGATGAGCTTTGCAAGCATTTATGGAGGAGCTTCTATATGTAAGATGCTGTGAAGAAAACACATTCTCCCCCCAATAAACAAGGTTAGCCTCTCCTACCAATATAAACTAAAACAATAAAAGGGTCAAAAGTACTTAGACATCAAACATGTTACTTATATACAATATGGTCACATATACACAACTACAAAGAATTATTTTTCACAGAGATATTCTATTTCATTGTGAACCTGCTAGGAAATCCAGCAAATCCACAAGCTTGGATGATTTTCAGCATCTGCTATTGGCAAGACTATCTACTCTCTGTTCTTTCAGCCATGTGCAAATGTGAGACATCAAACTGCGCAAACCCATCCCAAGTTTGTACTTGTGATATACTGTAGAACAGCTGCCTAATCTATAACCTTCACTTTCCTCACCCATAAAACACACTTAGGAAGAGTTTCTAACTGTCCTCATTAGAACATTAAATGGGATAATCCATATAAAGAGTTTCAAGCACAATGGCTGACAATAAATTGTCAATAAAATCATCCAGACTCAGAAAGAATAACCTAAGGTACTCAAGACATGATACTCCATTCCACTTCCCACTTAGAGTGTTGAATGCTCCCTCTAATCTCAACACTCGGGAGAGGCAAGAAGATCTCGACAAGTTCAAGGCCAGTCTGGTCCCACAGTGAGTTCTAGGCCAACCAGAGTTATTCAATAATATCTTGCCTCAAAAAAAAAAAAAAACCAAAAAAACCAAAAAAAACAAAACAATGCAAAACAAAAACCTCAAAACAAATAAAATATGTTAAGCGCTATAAAAAGTCACACCTGGGATAAAAACACCTCTGGTTCTATCTGAATGGTCTACTCTGTGGGGAGCAAGTGCCAGATTTTATTTTCTTGGTTATTAACTACAATGGAGTAACCAGGCATATGGCCTGCAGCTTGTTGGGGCTTTAGACTTCTTTACTCAGACCCTTGTGACCTCTGTCAGTTGCTTATCTGTGCCTTAGTTTTCCAAATGAAAAATGAGAGGGCTGGATAGGAAACACCCCCAAGCCCATCCATGCACTCCAGGTGTGACACTCATTGAAAACATGGGCCTGGACTGACTTGTCATGGATGCAGAGTCTATGTATTCCTGCCCCAAGCAAGCATTTTCTTCTTAGGAATGTGGGATGCACCCAAGGAGAGGAGAAAGATAGGCCACACTGGTCTCCAGTCAGCCCAATGCTTCAGTGTCACCAAAATAGATAAGAGAGCTGACCTCATTAGCAGTGAAGAGACAACTGGGGAATGGTTGAAGTGTTATGAAGTACCATTACATTCTTCAGATACAGGAAGAAGATTGAGTTGTGTAAACTCAGACATTATTGAGAAGATGAACACAAGTTCTAGTGCAAAGTTTTCTTAACTGCCATTCTTTCTAAAGTTATAGATACGTAATTATTTCAATCCTCCGTACAATGCACAGTAAAAGAATTGTTACACACCCATCACTACTAACAGGAAAGGCATAAAAATACATGAGTTGGGCTTTTTCATTTTATATCATGAAGCACTAAACAAAGGAGTTTTAATTGCAGAGTTACTAGCTGTCAAAGCAGGTTTTAGAAATCTCAGTTTATAGTTTTGCTAATGTGAATTTCTTAACATTGGTAGGAACCTGTATTTTTCCATCATCTCCCTGAATCACTGTAATGGGCTCTGGGTGTAAGCAGAACAGGTCCTATTAATCTCACTGCTCAAATTTGAAAGAGGCTCAGAGATGTGACATTGCTTCCTGAGTTTCCACTAGAAAAACGTAGTGCAGTAGAAGCAAGTCCAGGCCTGAGTTTCCCCACTGCCGCTTCTGCCTGGGTCTAGCTGAGGCAGTGTCTTTGGAATATATTTCTCATTTGATCCTTAGAAAGCACTGAGGCTTACATCATTGTCACCCTGGATGAGGACTCTTGAGTCTGACTGGGATCCATGGGTATTCTCAGAGAATTCTAACACAGAATGTAAACGGATATAGCACAAGCACCTGGTTATTTTAGTAAAATGGGAATCTGTGGAGATGGCTAAGTGGATAAAGCATTGCTCTGCAAACATGAGGACTTGAGTAGGATCCCCAGCACCTATGTCAAAGGTCAAGTGTGGTGGTGTGTAGCTGTAAAATAGCACTGAGGTGGATCCCAGGGGCTTAGCCAGCCTAGCCCACTGTGCGCTCCAGATAGTGAGAATTCCTGTCTCAAAAAAATCAGGTGGAAGGCAACAGAGGAAAGCCTCTATCATTGACCTCTGGCCTCGACATGGTACATAAGCAAATACACACACACACACACACACACACACTCAAAACACACACCACAGAGAAAGAGATTTCACCAGGGAAATCAGGTAAAGTTTGAAACCAGGAAATTTGCTCCTGACTGGCTTGACTAGCCTTTCTTTCCTATAACTAGGCCAGAGGGTTTGGGGGTCTTGGGCTCTGGGCTCTGACATCCAACTGTGGGCTCTTCCAGATAAAGTAGACAAGATTGGCTGGAGATACCTGTGCTTCATGTGGAGGAACAATCTGCTTTGCTAAGGGATGAGGGAAGTTGCTATCTTTAAAGAAGCATAGTTGGTTGAGGGCTGAGTTTTCTTCCTCTAAACCATCCCCTGAAAGACTACAGACCCTGTTAATGTGCAAAACCAATCTCCTTCTTATTTTCTGTCAG